GGTGAGTAAATTATCAGCCAAAGTTTTTTGAAAAGTGAACTACTCCTTTAAAGTCCCTTCTTGGTCATGCATGCGGATTTTAAAGGTATAGCGGAGGATCTTTCCGAATTTTAGAGAAGACCCGCCCTCTCCAATTTTTTAAAAAAATGCACATGCACAAACACAACACTCTTGCTCCCGAGAGCTATGGAACGTCTATACGCCTTGCACAATTATGTTGCAAATTCTAAACTAACTAAAAAACATTCATAAAAAAGACAACATGTCAAATACCCTTCCGTGTTTTATTTACTTATTATACTGATCGATTGAGTGACCGAGGACTCAAGACGTGATATGTGCAACCCTGTATCACACGAAATACGTTCTGAGGAAACTATTTTGCAAATCGCAATTACGTTACATAGCAACATATAAGCAGTGCTATTACGTTGGTCCTTAACCTAATATCTCTCATTGTTAATACGTTATTTTTATACATAGTTGCATATGGAGAAGTAGCTTGTTGCATTTGTGTAATAATAAACACACAAGATTTTAGAATATTTAAGCGTGATACATTACCATTTTGGACAAAAGGCTACTTTAGACAAATTGAGATGTTTACCGTGTCTATGCGGTGCATGACTCGTGCCAGGGCTAGCATTGTAGCTTGAATTAACTTTTACTAGTGATTTTAAATGGATTTCTCCAAATAGCGTGACAAACTTTACCTGTCTGGTAGAATCTTCCCGACTGCGGCATCCGTGAGAAGCCCAACCTGTGCTTTTAGCGCACGCCAGCGTGTGATATTCACCCAAAATCTCTCTGGTCTTGTTTCTATATTCTGCGGCCTTTCTCTTCTTATCATAAACTTAGTAAACATTTTTTTTCTTTCGACCCTCAGCCATTTTCAAAGGAATGGCTGAAACCGTAACTCCGACATAATACACATGAAAGTGAAAACTACATAGGGATGAGCACGTAGCCTACGACGGCCTTACGTAAACATATCACCAGAATGATTGACACTTAGGTGGACCAATAGTATAGACTACCCACCCGGAAAAAGAAAATCCTCCGCTATACCTTTAAGTTAAGACCGTGCCATGTAAACTTGTAAATCAGAGTGGAAACACTGTTCTACTTCAGCTCTTAGGGAATTGGGAAATGATTCAGTATAAAGTGCCCTAAGGAGACTGGTGGGAATTGCACATTCTCAGTCTGGGAACACTAGTTATCAGAGAACACTAAATGGACTCATTTGCCTTATAGGTTTGTCCCACTTGTGCAGTTCCGAGAAAAAAAAAAAAAAACTCAGAATAACTTCAACACTTTAGCTAATGCACAAGGTACAGTAGATTAATGGCTGGGCTGCTTTTCCTAAGAGCGTAATCACATTCTATGTTTAATATACTGCGAAACAAAGAGGCAGAGCCATTTTTGTTCAATAAAGATGGCATCTCAGTTGCACAATAGCATTATCAAAGAGCACAGCAAACAAACAGCAGTGCTGACCAGTCTCTAACCCCAGTGCATAGCTCACTTGAAGCCACCTGTTATTTTTCAATTACCAGGTGGCGGGTACATTCTGCTTTGATGTGGCCACGATCCAAAAAAGCTGTCTTCGCGGATGTACAATGGATGTGTTGTACGTTCAGCGCTATAATAAAGTAGCTGTGCTTTTCTTTCTTTTTTTTTTGTTCCAAGGAAGGAACAAAAAGCAATTGCCTGGAGCATAATTTGTAAACAATGAATGTTGGCACAGTAACTATAAATACGAGGTTGTTCGTTTTATTCTGTAATTTCCCTGTCATTTCCCCAAGGGTTGCAGAAAACAGTTGATACAGCAACAATGCCAATATTACAAATTTATTTTATGTCCACACACCTGTGTACTTCATTTCATACAGTGTTGAAATAAGAGGAAATTACACCTATTGCATCAATAACTGGGGTTCTTTCTGGAGGTTCAAAAGCCAAAATGCAAGGGGTTTGTAGATGGTTGCAAGAGCATTGCTATGCAGTTGCTAAGGGCCACAGAGTGTTTTTATCATGTCACTATGTGGTCACTAGGGTGTTCAGAGTGGTTGCTAGGCTATAACCCACTGCACTTAAACAAAAGAGCTTAGTCTGTATCATTCTGACTTCTCTAGATATGACTCAGTTTTCTTCTTCAATGCAAGTCTATGGGATAGTTTTTCCTATGGGACCTGTTTTTATCATCTGCCATATGAGAATAAAACAATAGCAATATTCTGATATTACTTCAAAAAGTAATAGCACACAAACCACATGGTTTTTTCATAAGCAATGCAGGACAATAAAACACTTCTGATTATCAATGTTGAGAACAGTTGTGCTGCTTAATTTGATCTGGAAAGCGTGATGCATTGGTACAGAGAGCTGAAAAAACAGCATTTATTTGAAATAGAAACCTTTTGTAACACTATACATTTCTTTACTGTCCTCTTTGATCCATTGTATGCATCTTCGCTGAATAAAAGTATTCATTTCTTTTAAGGAAAAGAGATTCTACTGACCTCAAACTTTTGAATGGTGAATGTAATTACTAATTACCCTGTAAACACAGTAAATGAGCATAATGAAATAATGTCAATGATGTGTTTTTATATCTAGAGGCTAAACAAATGGAAATGAGTGTGGAGAACTGTAGGCGTCCCGTTTCTTCAAAATCACACAATACCATATAGAGTTGGCAATGCTTTAGTGCTTCTCACTTTGGCTCTATAATAGCTGATTTGAATAGCAGTGTTAATCTGAGGTGTAAAATGAGGAGAGGAAGACAATGAGGCTTGTGTTTCTCCAGAGGATATCCGTGCTTGCCAGCAATGACTGCTGCCCTTTCTATTTACCTTTATAAAGGGCTTCACCACAGATCCAACAGGCGAAAAAACAATCTTATGATTAGCCTTTCTCTTTAAGAAGGATAAGAATTGAACGGTTCTGACTCTAATTTGACTTAATGACTGTGGTTCTTTAAAGGGTTAGTTCACTCAAAAATGAAAATTATCCCATAATTGACTCACCCTCGAGCCATCCTTGGTGTATATGTCTTTCTTCTTTCAGCCAAACACAATCAGCGATATATATATATATATATATGTGTGTGTGTCCTGGCTCTTCGATGCTTAATAATGGGAGTGAATAAAGCCTGAGTCTTTGAAGTCCAAAAAAGCACATCCATCCATGTTAATAAAGACCTTCTTGAAGCAAAGAGACGAAGAGATTTGTAGAAATACTATAATTATAACTTTATAAACTATACATCAGAGTCTAGTTCCAACATCAGAGTCTAGTTCCAGCGCAAGATTGACCTCTGACCCGTCAATGCCTACTTCAACACGGACGGTTAAGCCCCGCCCACACATTCGCGCATTACACGCATAGCTAAATAACTATAGGCCTACCTTCCTCGTGATGGCGAATGGGTAGAAAATAGCCTATTACTTATTAATTTTGATGTTTTTTAATGTAAAAACCAAGCGAACATCATTAGTTGAGCTCAGACAACAATATAAAACATTTAAAAAGCCAATTCATGACCCCTTTAATAACACTTTATTAAAATCAAGGTTGTATTTGTGAACAAAAGTTAATGCAGCGTGAACTAAGATGAACAAACAATGAACAGCTGTTTTTTAATTAACTAACATTAAAGTTGCAGTCCGCAGTTTTTCCTCTTTGTCGCCATCTCTGTTCGAAATCTGCAATTGCAGTCAGTCACGGAATTATCAACTTTACGTGAGTCGTACTTCGACACCCTCGACACGCACAGCGCGGATGGAAACAATGTTTCTGGAGACTGTGAGGCTGTCAGTCACCGCGCCGGTGTGGATACTGGCATTCAGAATCACAGATTATTCTTTTTGGAAGTATGACCAACATAAGAATTTTCACTGGAAAATGTCATCTGAACAAGAAACAACCACTTTCGCGTAACTTTTGCAGTAAAGCGCGCTGATTAAATCTAATTGTCTCAAATTGTTAACGTTAACTACGTCGTCAATATTGCGTGACAACATGTAATGTCCTTCCGATATTATTCTTTTTTTCGCATGGGTCCGGTTGCAGTCTCTTTTTCCTCTAGCCACTCTGAAGTCCGAATGAAGTCTTTTGCATTTTACAAAAAAAAAAACATTGTGTTTTTCAACTGTATATTAAAAAATGTCTCGTCCACTGTTGTCATTCCATTAGCACCCGCAAGTGACGATTCTCTATCAACCAATCAACACTCTGCAGTGAGTCTAGCTCCACCCTTTATGTTCCGAACTACTGAGCAACAGAAGGGTACCAAAAAAGTGGTATGGTAAAAGTGGTACAACTTCTGACAATCGAAACTTAAATAATTGCGTATTGTACTGTACCGTACCAAGGTGTAGCTAATTAAGTTGCCGGTGGGAGTATGTACTGGCTATAGTTTTCTTTGCTGTAGGTTAATAATCAATATCCAATATTAAGTTAAAACAAATTGAGAAGAAATCACAGGAGTTCTTGTCTCAGTAACAGAAACATTTGAGAAAATACAGCAAAAAAATAAAAAAATAAATGAGAGGGAAACGCTTTCATTGCAGTGTTTTGCACTCTAGGCCACAAAGGTACAGAGGTAACGTGTGAGAAACAGCATTAGAAACGGGAAAAAAGGAGAGAGAGAGTAAGAGAGATTGCTTGTAGCATACTGCTGGAGGGACAAAGCCGGTCTAGTCTGAATACTAAGCAAAACAGACAGCAGCAGATGCTAGCAGCAGTCAGTCGTCAGGGGAAATGCCTCCCACACGACAACAGAGAAAAGAGCAGAGGCAAACGCAGGCCAAAGGAACCCCCTTAGAGCACATCATACCCTATTACAAAGAGGACTGGGCAAAATCGCTCACTTTATAGACCCTATAAAAGACGGGATAGAAGGAGGGAAGAGTTTTATGAAGTAGCTCACCAGCCTCAAAATACTTATTTGCATTTGCCTCACATGCTCATTCCTGAGGCGGGTTCTTGCGTCTTACCTTGGCTTTGTTGATAGTGCAGTGCAGAGCATTGTTCTCCTGATCATACAGAAGGCTGAAGTCCAGAGTGCCGAGCGTAGCTGCGAGGAAACAGAGATAAAAACATCAACAAAACAGGCCACTCCACAGCACACACTGTATGCAATAGCAATTAGCAAGCTGTTCAAACCATATTTTGCTCCTCCAGAGACCATCTGATGTCAACTGTACACAAAAAGGCAAAACGCTTTCTCAATTTGGCAAGCTTTAATTTGAATTTGATTGGCAATCAGGGCTGCACATGTTTTTACAAGGTACCAAACTGCTACAATGAGCACTTTTGATCCGTTGAGTTTTGTTTGAGGTACTTATATAGTCATTTATTAGTAATTGAACAAAATATCAACAAGCAGAACTGTAAATTTCACTTTGAGTTACACTACTGTTGAAAGGTTTGGGGTCAGTAACAGGGGCGTCATGCAAGCCAAAATTCTGGGGGGGCACATACGGCCTGAGGCCACGAGTTACTATCTTGAGGCCACGAGTTACTATCTTGAGGCCACGAGTTACTATCTTGAAGCCACGAGTTACTATCTTGAGGCCACGAGTTACTATCTTGAAGCCACGAGTTACTATCTTGAGGCCACGAGTTACTATCTTGAGGCCACGAGTTACTATCTTGAGGCCACGAGATAGTATCTTGAGGCAGCAAGTTACTATCTTGAAGCCACGAGTTACTATCTTGAGGCCACGAGTTAGTATCTTGAGGCCACGAGTTACTATCTTGAGGCCACGAGTTACTATCTTGAGGCCACGAGATAGTATCTTGAGGCCACGAGTTACTATCTTGAGGCCACGAGTTACTATCTTGAAGCCACGAGATAGTATCTTGAGGCCACGAGATAGTATCTCGAGGCAGCGAGTTACTATCTTGAAGCCACGAGTTACTATCTTGAGGCCACGAGTTACTATCTTGAGGCCACGAGTTAGTATCTTGAGGCCACGAGTTACTATCTTGAGGCCACGAGTTAGTATCTTGAGGCCACGAGTTACTATCTTGAGGCCACGAGTTACTATCTTGAGGCCACGAGTTAGTATCTTGAGGCCACGATTTACTATCTTGAGGCTACAAGTTACTATCTTGAGGCCACGAGTTAGTATCTTGAGGCCACGAGATAGTAACTTGAGGCCACGAGATAGTTCTAACTAATTTTTTTGCCAAAGTGGGACTAGGGGGGCTCCGTAGGCACAATCTGAGACGTTGCAATTGTTTTCTGAAGGGTGTTATGGATCATGTTAGGAGGGGTCAGGGGGTTTCTCCCCAAGAAAATGTTTAAATTCTGTCTGCTAAACAAACCATTTCAATGCGGTCAGGGACGGACAGAAATACCTTTAAACGGAGCTAGCAGCAACCCTCCTCTATCTGAGGAATAAGTTAAAGTATCTCTTTTGTAAGTCTACTTATGCCTACTACACATGATTTTAAAAACAGTGCCATTGCAGTTTATATGTTATGATTTTAAATTGGTATGTGACCTAAGAATGATCTGACATTAAAGGTACATAAAGGTGCTGAGGTCTGCTCTGAAATTAAGTTATTTTAATATTAATATGTGATGAAGGACTTTGAAAGAAGTTTGACAGATTTCAGTGCTGAATAAGGTTAACACTACCCGTTTATTTGAAAATGGTTAATATTTGACAGAAATGTAAAGTAATCAAATCAAATGTAATATGTAACATTACTTTAGTAAAATCATTGAAATACTGTAGTTACACTGCTCATTATTATATTTTAAATAAGGAACTTGTAAAGAGTAACTTGCCTGATCCGTGAAGAACCGTGAATAACAAAAGTCTACGGGAGAAACAAAGTCGATGCCTTGATAACGTTAGGTTGGATTTTGCAGTTAGCCTACAACACATTTAACACCCTCGTTTCTATGAAACTGGAAACAATTGAACCAGCTGGAGACTTTGAAACAAGACAAAACAGAACAGATGTTTCAAAAACCGATCAGATGGCAGGCAGTAATGTTAGCCAACTAGTTTGCGGTTAGACTAGGCTAGCTATCGATAACGTTACACTGACACTTAGTTAATGCTCTGAATTTGCAGCTAATATCAAATCCATAACTTTTTGATCAAGTTAAAATTTCCAGTTCAACCACAAATAATCCCACTACCTTTTAGTATCATCCGATCACTAATTCAATGTCGATTTGTTGCTTTGCCCACTTACCACTTCAAGACCATCTGTAAAACATTGCCAGATCAACGTGCGAGACGTGTGAGTTGCTTCAACATACACAGCAAAGATTCTGTAGCACTCTAGATTTGATAGAGCAACCCAATCTCACGGGAATTCGTACAAATTTTACGAGGTGGCTAATTCGTAACAATTCGTACGACCTCACTCGTACGAATTAGTACGATTTTGCTAAATCGTACATATTTTACGAATTAGCCAATTCGTATGAATTCGTACGAATGACCTACCCCTGACCCCGCCCCTAAACATAACCGTCACGTGGGTTTAGACAAATCGTACAAATTCGTACGCGTGAGGTCGTATGAATAAGTACGAATTAGCCACTTTTGAATCACTCGTACGAATTCGTACGAATTAGCCACTTTTGAATCACTCGTACGAATTGGTCGTGAGATAGGGTAGGATAGACACCATTTTAGGAAAAAGGGGCGATTTATTACACATCCAGAAGAATACATTTGAGTCGTTATAGGCTCTGGTAATTATGGAGCATAATATGAATAAAGTTGTGACAAAAAAAATTATCAGGGAGGAAAAATCTGAGGGGGCGCGTGCACTGAAGTGCCGTCGAAGTGGATTCGAACCCGGACACTCACACCAAAGGCTTATGTCTTATGATAAGCTGTGTCTTATCAAATGTGCCATCACCACCCCTCAAAAAGATGAAAAGATGAAAAATACTTTTATATAAAAAGTGACAGTAAAGACATTTATAATTTTACCCCCAAAAAATCAAAGTATACTGAAAAAGTGTTTCATGGTTTCCATAAAAACATTAAGCTGCACAATGGTTTTTAAGAATTGATATTAAGGAGAAATGTTTCTTGAGCAGCAAATCAGCATATTAAATCATGTGACACTGAAGACTGGAGTAATGATGCTGAAAATTCAGCTGTCATCACAAGAATACTTATATTTAAAACAAATATTATACACTTCTTTTCTGTAGTTTTTATCAAATAAATGCCGCCATAATAAGCACAAGAGACCCTCCCCCACACACACACAAAAAAAATGTTTTATAGACCTCAAGCTTTTGACAGATAAGGTGTCTATGAAATTGCTTTGGTTGAATAGGAACATTTTCCACTAATTTCAGTGTCAGAACAACAGTAGTTCACAGACCGCTGACACATTACTTGAATTAACTTAAATGCTCACCAGTCTATGATTATACCAGTGATTCCAAATGTACCTAGCCCTAAAACAATACAAATTGTCAATTCTGAAAGACATTCTGATGATCTTTTCCTATTTAAGTGACTATTCTTCACCAGAATGAGCTGTAAAGTAGATTTGATTGTGACAGTCAAACGTCCTGTTATTTGAAACTAAAAAGGCTGTGATTTTCTCAAATTGAGTGAGATACAAAGAAAAAGGAAGACATTTTCCTTTTCTCTTTTGAATTTTTGGACCTTTCCAATTCCCACTAAGTGTAAAGTCAATACTCCAGTAGGGTCACGGCTCTGAAAGTGAACCTCCCTGCTGATTCTGCCTCGTATGAATGCGGTCATGAGAAGCTGAGTCACATCTCATATGGACTCCTAGCAGGTGGCCTTCTGCAGAGAGCATCTTGAGTTCAAGGGCATTAGACTAGGGATGTCACCATGTTTTTGTGCTCCCGATCCGAGTAACTGAGCAAAATAATTGCAAAAAAAGTCAAGATAAGGTTAGAAAGCATGAGGCACGTGGTGTCTGAAGTCTAAAACAAGATGCAAACCATTGCGCAACAACGTCTCAGGTAGTCTGATGGCAGATAAAAATAATTACTCTCGAGTGATTTGTTACTAAAGTGCGCATCAAATATGCTAAACACAGAAACCTGGTTGTGTATGTGACTCACTAGAACCAACCTCCGACTCACATCTGAGTTTTTCATTCCTTTTAATGGCAGATGACAAACACATGTGAAGGTTCAAACCACCCACTACTGCCTGCGTGAATGTAAAATAAAGGATTGGGCTGACACCGATCAGTTAGAAAAATGCTTTATCAGCCCTGATATTGATCCTTGACATCCCTCCATTAGACATACTGGAGTTATCAACTAACCTTCCCCAGTTATATCCTCAGCAAAATATAAGAAGAATAACTGAGGGAAAAAAATGTGATCTAACTTGTTTAAAATAACATCAGATTGAGAGCACTATCTGAATCACTAAGCTACTTGTGGTAGATTTTTCCCTTACGCACCTTAACTGGGGCGGTTCCAGTCGACACTTAAAAGCGGTGAAAATCAAGTTTTTGATGTTGTCTATGTGCTGATTTTAATGTGCTTTAACCCTAAAACCGTATTCTGGACAAATGTGGGCAAAATAGTTTTGATTTATTTTTAAAAAAATACTTCCCTTTATCTGAGCGGTACAAGACTTGGCTACTTTTCCTAAGTTTGCCTCCTGAACACACACACATTTTTTTTTTACTCAATTCTACAATGTTAACTGGGTGAAAAAACAAACAAACTCCTTAATCTTGTATTTGGGTCAAAATTGGGCACCCATAGAAATGAATGGGAAAAACTGTAATTTAGAGCATTCTAAAATCAGCCAAAATAAGACACCAGGGGCCTCATGTATCAACACTGCGTACGTACAAAAACACGGCGTACGCCAGCTTTCACGTTCACGGCCAGATGTACTAACAGTGAAATTAACGGAAGAATGTGCGTTCCTCCAAGTAAACTTCATGTCTGGCGTACGTACATTTGCCTTGATTTGTCCGTTGGCGACTCCTAGAGGCAATAAGGTGAAGTGGCAAACATTACTCTACGAATTGTTCTATCGCACCACCAGCTGTCAGATATTGCTTAATGATATGTCAAATAATGTA